ACCTCGTGATCCGCCCACCTTGGCCTCCCAAAGTCCTGGGATTACAGGCATGAGCCACCGCGGCTGGCCCTAATAGAATAATTTCTATTGCTGTGACTTTTGTTTCTGACTTATAAATAAGCTGAAAATTATTATTTTCATGGCCTATTTTTCTGTTTGGCTATTTTTTATTTCTCTGCTGAGGTCCCACATCCGTTCATTTATGAGAAGAGTTTCCTGGCCGGGCATGGTGGCTCACGCCTGTAATCCCAGCACTTGGGAGGCCGAGGAGGGCAGACAGCAAGGTCAAGAAATCAAGACCATCCTGGCCAACATGGTGAAACCCTGTCTCTACTAAAAATACAAAAAATTAGCCGGGCGAGGTTGCTCACGGTTGTAGTCCCAGTTACTCAGAAGGCTGAGGCAGGGGAATCGCTTGAACCCGGGAGGTGGAGGTTGTAGTGAGCCAAGATCACGCCAATGTACTTGCCTGGCGACAGAGCAAGACACTGTTTTAAAAAAAAAAAGAAAAAAATATATTTTCCTTTGCCTCTATGAGTATACTTACAATAGCTGCCTTCAAATACTTGTCTGCTGGTTACATCTGACATTTTGGAGATATCTACTGCCTGCTTTCTATCTTGTGCATGTACGTTTTTATGTGTCTTCATACATCTCCAGAATTTGAAAATTGTGCACTAGAGACTGTATAAAAGAATTATAGAGACTGTGGATTCTGTTGTGTCCCTTTGAAGAGTATTGGTTTTTAAAGCAGGTGTTGGATTGGGCTGGATTCTAACTTCAATACTTATCTCTCCTATGGAGGGCACAGATGAAATCCTCATTCACTTCTTATACACACGTATCTCATATATGTCTTATATATGGAAGTGTTTATAATGATATATACTATTTTATCCAGGATCCATCATTTTTCTCTGTGAGAGTGTTAGTTCAGCTAGTTACTTCACCATTAGTGGAAGCCAGAACCTCAGTTTTGATTTTTTGGATTTAGTATAAATGAAATTATATAGTATTTTATAATTAAACACACATCGATTTTTTAAATACAAGATTATATTTGTGATATTCATTTATGCTATTGCAGGTATCTACAGTCTGATTCTTTTAAAAAGTTCTTTTTAACATTGTGATAAAATATACATAAAATTAACTATTTTAACAACTTTTTAATGTGCAGGTCAGAGGAATTAATCACGCTCACATTGTTCTGCAACCATTATCCACATTCATAAGGAATTTTATTTATTTGCAAAGCTGAAACTCTGTTCCTGTTAAACAACAGCCCCTCTTTCCCTTCTTTTGGCCTCTGGGAACTACTCTTCTACTCTCTGTTTCTGCGAATAGAACTATCACATGTACCTCATAGGGGTGAAACCATACAATATAGTTAAAAATTATGAGGAAAAATAAAACACACTGTATAACATGTTTATTAATTTAAATAAAATCAGTAGTACATGGGAATTATATAGAAATATGGATAAAAAAGAAAAAGCAGTTAGAAGGGTGTGTTAAATTTATTACTATGGTGTCTCAAGTTTCGAAGCAGTGTGGCCCCTGCCACAGACACAGAGCTAATCATGGTACAGCTGGGATTCCAGTGCGACTGTCTGACTCCCAAAGCCCATGCTCAGCCCAAACATCACTGAGCCCTGAGGCGCTCTGCCCCTGCCAGCCCAGGAACTCAGTGGCCCTGAGATTCACCACAGCCTGTTCGTGGTCTTGAGGATTTTGCAGGCCTACTGGGATGGAGGCTTAGCTGACAGAACAATTAGAAACTTCAGGAAATAATGGCAACTGTTGTTATATCAAAGCGAGTCAAGGTATAAGCCACACTCTGAGACTGAATTATGAGTCGTTTATTTTAGCTGGTGACTGAGAGGTGGCTAATGCCCAAAATTATCTCGGCCCCGAAGGAAGAGTTAAGGGGTTTCTTATACCCTAGTTTGAAAAGGGAGGGAAGAAGCTAGCTGAAGCAATTTTTCCACAGAAGCAGAGTAAGCAAAAAGTTAAAAGATAAACTAGTACATGAGAAATAAAACAGAACCAGGTGCAAGCGCTAGAGCTGTCATAAAAAGACATCCAACTTATACATATGGGGGCTCTGGGTACTCGACAGCACCTGCATTCCCAGGCTCTGCTGGTGCCACTTAACTCGGCCTCTTATCAGCAAATGCATTCCAGGATGTGCCCAGTGTCACCCTGCCCCAGCTACATACTGCATTTACCCACTTAATGAGGGGAATAACTAAAACGAATACACTAAGGTGGAGTCTGTCTGGCTCAAGAAGCTAACATGAAGCCTGAACAGCTCTCAGCTAAGAAAGAGTCCGTTTAAGCTAACAAAAAGCAGGTTATCACACTGTGAGGCTACCAGGAGCCATACCTCAGGTTTCCCACTGCCTGCCCAAAGGTCCTCATGCAGCAGGGGCTGATGTTGACCATGGAGCCACAGCCACAGGCTCTCTGACACTGTCCACAAGACAGCCTTCTCCTACCCTCTGCTAATCTGCGAGGCCCTCACCTTTTATTCTGTGTCACACTTAATGGACTGGAACCAAACTCCAATTTCCTCCTCAGTCAGAAGATGACAATTATCTCGTCACTGAAGCAGCTGCAGTTTTTGGAAAACTTTGATCTGGAGACAAAAGAAAAGGCAAAATTCTGACAGGTTCTGGGTGGAAGATAATAAAGGAAACTTGGGAAGGGAGGGAGCAGGGGTGAGCCTCTGGGGCTCTTCTATGAAGGGGTCCCACTCTCCCCTCCAGCCCCAACCTGTTCTCAGAATTGGATATAAATAGTTCCTCATCTAGCAGTTTACCATTGATTTTAGTCCTCTAATTAAACCCTCCATTGGAATAGGTTTCTTCCTTCTCTGTGTATCAAACCTTCCACATAAATCTAAGATGCAGATGATGGCATCAGAGAGTGTCGTCTTCGGGGTGGTGTCTGACTTTCACGTCTTCACTCTCCCACAAAGTGAGGGTCCAGTTGCTGACCTTCCTCCTTTATTAGTGTTGATTTTATTTTCCTAGAAGGTAGACAGCCAGGATCCATCAGAAAGTCTCTCTGGCCCCTGACTAACCCTCATCCTTTATATTTCCCATGCTGCACCAAGACCAGGACCACCAGGGTAAGGACATGTGCATAAAACAGGACATGGGGCCGGGTGCGGTGGCTCATGTCTCTAATCCCAGCACTTTGGGAGGCCGAGATGGGTAGATCACGAGGTCAGGAGTTCAAGCCTGGCCAAAATGGTGAAAACCCATCTCTACTAAAAATACAAAAATTAGCTGGGCATGGTGGCATGCGCCTGTAATCCCAGCTTCTCGGGAGGCTGAGGCAGAGAACTGCTTAAACCCGGGAGGCAGAGATCGTAGTGAGCCAAGATCGCACCACTGCACTCCAGCCTGGGCAACAGAGTGAGACTCCATCTCAAAAAAAAAAAAAAAAATAGGATATGGACCTGCATCAGGTTATGGGCTCTACAGAAGGGACCCTGAGGCTCTGTGATCTTTTGCCCTGATTCTCTGTGATGATAGACCAGAAAACTGAGGCCTTGGAAACAAAGAAGTTACTCAGTGATTAGAAACTGCCTGCCTTAGGAGAGGCCCAACTTCTCTCTTCTCCAATACATACCACCTAAGGCAGAGGCTGAGACTCCGCTCTGCAGCTTCACTACTCAAAGTGCTTGCATCCATCACTCATAGATAAGATAAACCCGACACCCCCATTCACAGGGGGATGTGGTAGGCTCTCAGGAAAGAAGGTTTGCTGAGTGCGGCAATCTCAGGGCTCAGTCTAGAACTCTGTCCTCACAAGCTTCAGAATCCTGGTTCCCAAACTGCCTGCCTGCCTGCCCAAGTCTCACACACACCCATATAATTCCCTATGGCAATTTCCAGCATCTGCAGGTCAGTGAGAAGTATGCCCAGAGAAGGCACAGCACCCTATGCCATCAAGGTGGTAGCAGTAATGAGCACCAGTTCTCAGCTTCCCACACAAGGCCTGCTCTTTGAACTCTCACCAACCCATAGCTCCATGACCCCTCTACTCAAGTCTCCCATTTGGAGCAGCCAAGAACCCTCAGCCTTCTTACCTGGAATTCTTTTTCTCCTTTTTTACACAGCTGGCCTGCAAAGACACCAAGCACCCCCCAGTTACCTCTATTGTGGTGGTATTTTAATAAGTCACAAAGTCAAGTTGTTCCCAGCTTCACTCTTCCCCAAATCCACTTTGAGCCCAGCTCTCCCAGGTTCTTTCTCTGGTCTCTCTATTGAAGGCATTCCAAGCACTGTGGCCACAGGAGGGCACGGCCAGAGGAGGAAGACACCCTGTTCTCTTGATGTGGAGAACTTCAGCTGGGAAAGAGGAGCCCTGTCCTTTACCCTCTGAAGTCCCTCCCTGCCACAGACCACCCACCTTCAGCAGCAGCACCATCTGGACTCTCTAAAATGGTCCCTACCTAGCAGAGTCAGAAACAGGGTTAGTGAGACTGTGCTTCCCTCACCAAGTTACATCCCAGCCCCCCGACCTCAGATTGTGAATAACTGCCCGAGTCAGCTGGTACAAAGCTTCCATCACGTCCAGGGAGCCCTGATTCTAGATTTACTCCCAACTCCGGCACTCACTGTGGGGGTCACCTTGGGCATGCAGCTGGGTGTCCCTGAGACTTTCTCATCTGGGAAGTGTGATGGAGACACCTTCCTCACAGGCCCTCCTGAGGACTCAGTAGCATGTGGCTATCACCGCTGTTCTCACCATCATCACCCTCAGGAAGATGCAGGCACAAGAACTCTCAAATTTCCTTCCTCCTTTGGACCTTATCATGACCCTCTGAGACTTGCACGAGAGGCTTCCTGCATTTATTTGCCCAGCTGCCTTTATGCCACACACCAGCACCATCACTGGCCAGGGGCTCATCCTCTGGACTCTATGGGTGTCCACATCCCCATACAGACCCAATGTTGGTGGAAAAAGTACATGATGTCTTGGTAGGCCTGGTTGAGCAGTGCCAGCTTGTCCCAGCTTCACTGGAATTGCTATGCCACAAGCTGGGTAAGAGGCTATGCCAAGACTTTACCTCCCTGATGATCCATCAAGGGAGATTCCCACTCAGAACTCTGTCTTTATCCACTCCCGTCAGTTAGTCTGCCAATAAAATCACACCTGGGCCCCACCCACAAGCTGCCAGCCTCCAGTGTGTCTGATACCCAGGGCTGATCACACCCACCTTCGGAAGGCTGCTGAGATCCAGGAGGACATATACACATCTTTGGCTCAGATGGTTTGCTTTAGCCTTGTATCCTGGGCCATCTCCTTTGGCTTTCAGAAGATCCCTTCCAGCCTCAGAGTGCCAAGTGGTGACCCTAGTGGCTTCTCCATGGGAGCCGAACTCACCCACTCTCCATTGCCAAGTCTCCTGCTCAGCCTTCCTCACTTTGCCAGAACAAACCTGGCTTAACAGACATGTCTAGATCCTGTGCATTTCTCTTTGTGGTGTTCAAAGAAAGAGAATAATTTCCATTTTTTTTCTAACTTAACCTACAATCTATTTATTGTAAAGATGTCCAGGATGCAGTAGATCTCCACACACGCACCCCAAAGGCCTCAGCCCTTGCTTTAGTGCCTTCTGGTTCTACTCTGTCACTAAATGTTTATGACCTTAAGAAAACTGGGGAAAAAATGATCAAATGCAATTCCATTGGTACCAGTGTGGTGAGGGTGAGTCCAGAAGGGTGAGCCTCACTGGGGTTATGTAGGAACTGTATACAAGATAGACATTGTAAGTGCATTTGGAGAAATGCGGGGAAAACTAACTGTTAAAACATGTGCTTTTGTAGCAGGAACGGCCGCGGGAAACAGATTTCCCAAACACTGAATACAGAAGGAAATAGTTTATTATTCCGCCGGGATCCTGGGCATAATTTGTCCAAAGCCCAGCTCATTTAACAAAGGAAGGTTTTGCCTTTATATAGGCTTATACTTTAGATGTTACACGTGGAAGAATCTTAAGTTTATAGCTTTAGAAATCACATATGAAAGGGTTCCGGTTTACAGTTTTAGGACTCACATGTGAAAAGGTCTCTGTTTACAGTTTCAGGAATCACATATGAAAGGGTTCTGGTTTACAGTTTTAGGACTGACATGTGAAAAGGTTTCTGTTTACAGTTTCAGGAATCACATATGAAAGGATTCTGGTTTACAGTTTTAGGACTCACATGTGAAAAGGTTTCTGGTTTGATCGTGTTTTAAGTAAAAATACTGTCTTCCAGAGAGTTTCCCCAAGACCAAGCGTGTTATTTTCAGGAATGAGATTCAGGAGGCGCCAGCTGGCCTGCTCTCTCTTCTATTGAGCTGCACAGTGGATGACAGAGGGGGAGGGAATCCCAGATGCCTGGGTCTCCTTCCTCACTCTGAATAAAGAGACCCCTCAAACAGGCTTTGTGTGAGCAACATGGCTGTTTATTCACCTGGGTACGGGCCAGCTGAGGCTGGAAATGGCATTAGCAAAGGGAGGAAGAATAGGAGTTGGTTTCATAGGTTTGGAGTGGGCAGTGGAAAGTTACAGAAGTTACATTTGGTGGGTTTTTGCAAGCTGCGAGGGGATCATAGGTTTGCAAGCTGGGAAGGGGTCAAAGGGTGTAGAGTTACTTGGCCAAGCTTAGTTACCAAGTTCAATGGCCTTGTCAATTGAGGCTGGAATAAGAAACAATTGAGAATGTCTCAGAGTTAAGTAGGCACTTCAGGGGTTGATCATTTCTTCCTCTTTCTATGATCTTACAGCCAATTTAGGTTTTCTAATTCTGGAAGGCCCTCCAGAGGGGTACGTGCAGTTCATGAAGGTCGACATGCCATCCGTGGCTTGGTCAGACCTTACACTAACTTTCATAGGTAACACTATACAGAAGTTAAGCTTTTTAACAGCCACAAGTTCACGGGTTCCTCTTACAAAATGTGGCAATGTGTGACGATGTGCCAATGACCAAAATATACATACATAGAACAACTTGCAGCATTTATTTTGTGTTAGAAATTGTCTTTCAGCCAAAAGTTTTTCATACATCATGGATATTTCCCATGTTGCTTGATGATTGGAAGAGAGAGCATTTTATGACATGTTCTTCTGGACACATTTTCATCGAAGGTTTCATGTCCCAAGAGGCAATGAGACAAGTCATGATAAAGCGGCCTCATCATCTGGGGTGACACTTGAGCTTCTCGGTCTCCCAACTAAGGAAATAAAAAATGCAGACACATCAAAAGTGAGGTTAGTGCAGAAGTTTAATACATGAAAAAAGAGAACAGCTCTCTGCTGCAGAGAGAGTTCTCGAAAAAGGGTCACCTTTCCGCAGTGAAATG